TTACAGGGAATCTCCTCAGAGGACTGAATAAGTTACCTTGTTTCAGGCACCTGTCACATCTTTCCACTTAGGTTTGGAGGTAGCTTTACCATGTTTGCCGTTTCTAATACGGCCTTTGGTTCGAGCGGATCGGTTAGCGACTTGATAAAGGACTCATCTAGCCATCTGATTGAGCTCTGTTGGGCCGTATCGCCATCCGGATCGGGGGGCACTCGACACACTTGGTACTTGGATTGAGAGACTCCAGAACGTGGCTCGAAACTGGTGAAGTATAACGGAACAGCCAGTGACAGATCGGCAAGTGAGGATTTGCGTACTGGTATTCAGACTATTCATCTGTGTATAGAGACGAGAGCTAAAAATATGCTGGACGGGGAAATATGGTGGAAAATATAAATGTTCAGTGAGGGATACTATCGCAACTGGCACTAGTGGCGTGATCGTTATTGTCCTCCCACTGAACAATATTTAGAATTTGTGTGGTGCTTAGTTACTTGCTTGGTATAGTTGACTATTGGGCGTGATATTGAAAGTGGTAAGCCAACTCTCTCGCCGACGCCCATCATTTTTCCTCGCCTGACGCCTTTTGTTTGTGCCTAATTTCTTGACCATGGGACTTTAAATTGTGTACTTGGTTCTTTTTGTTTTCTCCACTCCTTTGTATTCTTGTTCCAGTGCATTTATTCATAGTTGTATAACAGCAGAACAACAGCTGCGTGCATTTCTGTTACTTGGTTAAGGTTTTTCCACGGAGATGCGGTGAATCCGGACTCCTTGTCGCATCTGTCAATGGCAATAGTTATAGTGGTTCTAATTTAAGTTCAGAGTGATGAATATATGCCAGCATCATTATGTTAAATAGTGTAGAGCCAGAGATGAGGGAAAAATGTAAGAACCACATTAATTTCGCGACCGTACCATAGCCGGCAGAGTATCCAACCAGTGTATGGCCGACTTCGTGGTTCCCATCCGGGAAGACGGCATGCACTGACCCGATTTAGCCTATCACCACGTTTCTTGTACCATGCTACCACGCGCTTAGTCGGCCACCTGAAGATTTTACTCGACTAGGCGAAGGATTGCAATTGGTACACGCTGTGGCGATTGAAAAATAGACATCAGCAGCACCGACGCTTCGATGCCGTGCAACCACTTCCGGTTGCACCTGAGCTAAGGATACTGCATGGATCGCCCGGTCCCCTGCGTAAGTTCGGACCCGCGTCGTCAGGTTACAAGACAGGCTCGTTATCTTTGCCTGCTAGCCGGCTGTGGCCGTTAGCCTTCAGGCATATGGATCACTTATGGTTTGTCTTCAAAAGCAACTTCAATGCACCAGCAGAGGGCCTATCACCTAACGTCACATGGCTAAATTCGGTGCTACTTGTCCTCTTGTCAGACACGTTCAAAAGTTTGCCAGCTCTTTGACCTATCCAGCAACGCTATTCATAGCTCAGTGTCGTAGACTTCTCATTTGGCTACGAAGCTTATACCTAACCTTTTCGGTAAGTCATTGAGGCATAGCAATACATTCGGTGACCGCTAGAGATGATGAAGCTACGTTGAATGGTTAGTCTATCGTCCACTTCGAATCCGTGTTTTGTGAGAACTACTGGTCAGTCGACCCAATTTCATTACGGTGCGAAGCGCATGCCAAACCATCCAGAGACGTTTGCCACTTCCTTTGGTTGAATAATATCTGGATCAGATCCACGTAGAACATTGTCACCCCTACATCAAATAGGATTTCCGCCACTAGTCAAGTCAATGAAGACTGGGTAAAATCATCCATGATAATTTGGACCGTAGTGTACAACATCATCATGATGGTGCTTGGGTTATGATACTGCCATGGTATCCATACTTAGGCAGCTTAATGGTTAGGTTCGTCAATCAAAGTCTCCTGCCCAAATCTTGAACCACATAGCAGCTGGAAGATGACTCCTACTCGGTTTCATATATATATATATATATATATATATATATATATATATATATATATATATATATATATATATATATATATATATATGAATGTCGCTCTAAATCCAGCCCTCATCCTTTGGAGTACCGGGAGACTGTGTTCGTCGGACTTTTGATAATTAATCTAGCAGGATTGGTTGTCAATGCACCTAATGGCATCCCCAGTGAAGCCCAATGGGTTGAGGTGAGTTGAGTTTGATGGAAGTTATTCAGCGTTCTTGTCGGTAACACAATCGTCTCGACACACTTTTGGCTGTTTATCGGCAGTGTCTACGACGCGCTTGTTTCTGCTACGCATGCCCGATGATTTCGTTCTAGCTTCAGCTGTTTTTCATTCCGGGTGTCAATTTTGTGCACAGAGGTACTCTGGGTTTTCATTTCGACGGTACGTGAGTAAGCGATATACTCTTATTTGATTTAAATAAATGAGGATATCCGTAGTTCGGGGCGTGGATGCGGATTTGCAGCTGTTCCACGAGCTGAGTGATTATCATGCAGACGTTTCGTTGCCTGACTAGGCAACATCATCACTACGGCTTCAGGGGCCTGGATTGGCAAACCCTATCTCATTTCATCCACGTTGGTAATCAAGAAACAGTCGCGATAGTCACCACTCATTAGATCGGGGAATTGTGCTACTCATCTCCTGTATTTTCTTCACTACTCCCCCTTTCCTCGATTCATCATCTGTCGTGTCGTATGTATGGAGATATTTCCATTGTGTTTCTTCGAAGAATTGAACTACCACCATATGGCTGAATCGATTAGTGACCATTCCGCTTTGAGTCTGGTTGTCAGCTCTACCGTCTCCCTCTGCTTCACTCCTCGTGTCTTGCAGGTAATCTCATTCAACTCAGTCTTTTGGAAGAAGAAGTCCTCGCTCTACACTGTTCCCATTTCTGCGTAAGTCATCCCAGCTGGGGCGCTCCCGCTCTTTCTCATCCTCAGTATTGCGACTGGTTGCAGGTGCCTTCCTGATTACTTTCTATGCCTGTTTCAGCCTCACCCCATCCCCATCCAGTGTGTGGGCTATGTATAAGTCTCGGTTAGCGAATCGGTAGCAGTGGGGATGGGACTTACGACTGTCGAATACGTCGACCTGAACACTGGATCTCGCGGATCTCACTAGCACAGTGTTCAAGACGTCAGCCGTGAACTACTAGGCTCTGAGTTCCACCCCAGCTCAGGCCATCTCCACCTGACGAGTCCAAACCAGGACGAAACCGCGGTCGTGGTGTGCCAGTTTTGGAAAGAGCAACACCCAAATATTTCCATTCCAGATACAGTCCTCGTGATCGGAATGACCGAGGTTTGCCTCAAAGTGGACCGAGGTCTCTATATAGGTTGCGAGTCGCAACCCAACCACACAGCGTGTTCCCTAAATTCAGCTTTGAATTGCTTTCCGCTGTGCCAAGCGTTGTTCGTGAATCTCATTAGCATAGTGTTCAGGACGTCAGCTGTGAACTACTAAGCTCCGAGTTCCACCCCAGCGCAGGCTATCTCAACCTTACGAGTCCAAACTAGGACGAAACCGCGGTCGTGATGTGCCAGTGTTGGGAAGAGCAACACCCAAATATTTCCACTGGATGGAATCTTTTAAATGATATTTCGACCGGCATATTGAGATCTGTCATTCACCCAACTTCCTGAGCTCTCGGAGAACGTTAGCACACTGATTTTTGCTTACAGTGAACTTCCAGGCGTGCCTTCTCTGCAAACTTACATCAAGGCACCCAGATGCGATCGCTTTCATTTCTTGCTGTCAGAAACGCGCGGGTCTATTTGCCGTATTCAATGTTTTGCGAAATACTGGACAACTATCTTTAACTGGTCAGCCTTATCTTCTAAACAAGTGGGTATGTGTATTGTGCCAAAATCGTTGCGGTTTTGGACCTAGCTCTGCTTTCAAAAAACAGTTCTCCTGCACCATACTGCATTGGCTGACCAGTCCTCGTGAAAGTCGGATGCGTGCTAGCTCTACTGACCTCAGTCACATAATTACGCCTTGCCATTTGGTGGACATTGTTTACCATTGTCCTTTTTAAACTGAAACCCGTTTTAAATCCAGTAGATAGCGTTAATTAGTGACTTTCTATCTCATTGGGATAGTGAGGGTATTCGAATGGTAGACATAGAAATTCATCGCGTCAAGACTCAGTCAGGCAGCCGTCACGCCCTGAAAAGCATTGTAATGCCTTTTCGCCCTTTCGGGAATCGTCAGCATTCTATCTGACCCTTTTAGAGCTCGAACCTGCAGCTCGACTGTAGTCATTCTGTGCCTAAGGCCACTAAGCTGCGGTGGGCGTTAACGACTTGCGCTACTGCCGTGCAGAGGACAGGTGACCCCTCACTATATGTACTTGTACTTGTGCGCTGTATATCCTTGTGGGAGTTGCCAAAACACATATATTCTGCGTTCCATTTACTGCCATCCACGGCTTTTCGTGTAGATCTACATGAAGCTATCTCCTGAGTTTACCATGGTATGGATTTTGGAATTGTGGGTTGTAATTCTGTTCAGGCTGCTGTGCGAGCAGTTCCAACCATACTGTACTCGCGACATTACGAGGCCCATTGCCGCACTACTCTGGTAGCCTATTTCCTGTTTGTTTCCAAATTGGCCTCAGCCGTTCTGAGGCTGTGATAGGGCTAACATGGAATTAACACGACGGAGACAGCACGTTGCATTTGTCTGATCAGAAGTGCCGCGCTTGATCAGTGAAAAGAAACATCGTACCGGGCTCGCACTAACACTTCTCTTCATCGTACTTCGCTACCACCCCTTTCTGTACCCTCGCACAAATATTTGTGCGATATGCTTCAAGCTACAGCTCATTGCTCTTGCATTTCGTTTTCTGGCTTAAAACCTGTGTACGTCTCACAATTGACCTGCTGAAAGCCTCCTTAAGCGTATACGGTTCCCTTCGTCGCTTTCTCCATCACAATCGCATTCATTGTCTAATATAACATGTGATTGGGACATTTGTTTTCATGGACATCAACCAAACCGCTCCATCTTTGTGCCATCCTTATGCATGCGAGCAACGTGTGCAACCACATAATACTCGAGAAGAATCAGGGTGGGATTCTCTCCTATTTCTTCTATACACTTCTGGTACATTCGAATTGTGCTTCCTTCATTAGTCGGTTTTGCCTAGTCCAGACAGTGGCTTGGCTAGGCTCGGCGCCACCTACTATTCTCCGGTTGACTCATTGGGCTTCAGTGTTCTCGCTTCCATTTGCACTTTTGGCTTTTCATATAGTCTGGGGTGCCTCCCACTGCACAGGGATGCATTGTTCTATCGCGTGTAATCAGAAACACGTGGAACCATCAGTCTTATCCATCCTATATTCTCCTGCGTTACTTCTTTTACCGCAGCTTCTGTTCAACGTTTATGCTGCAAATACTATTCACTCATCGTTGATTCCTAGGTATGGTGCTCTAATGTGTATGTATTAACAAGTTGCCATGTTTGTCATTTTCGCTAAAGGTTGTACTTTCGAAACTCATGCGGCATCTTGGCAGCTACGTCGGGAACAAAAAGTCCAAAGTTTCCACTTGGCATCCGATTCTTGGATGGTTTGTACAGACACTAGACAACGAGTAAGCATTTATCTTTTCCACTCGCTCCTGCTGCACCATCTGCGCAACAGCTGACTACACATAGATCATTCCGCTTATGCATGACTGGGTTCATTGGCATCGGGACTGTTGATTGCGATTTGGGCAATTATTGACGGGAAACAAACAGCCTTTAGCCATCATTCCCATCCGCATCATTGCAGTGTACCACTGTTCCGCTACTGTGCACTCAGAAGCATGGATTTTGTAGCTACCACTACCTCGCTCTCTTCTGCCCTCTTCACTGCTTACGCACCTCTCACACACTGACACACCAAACTTACCTTCGTTAATAATTCTTGTTCCTTTCAATTTACTCCCAATACCAGCCTCGTTGATCTTCAGATAGTCCTACCAGTAGCTCTCGTTTGACCCCGATCTTCATTCCGGTTGGCAGCTTTCAACATTCGAGCCCTTAAGCAGCTCGGACAGTAAGCTGCCGTCACGTGTACCCCAGTCCAAACTACCTATGTTTGTTGCCTTTCAGAGTCTTGATTAATATACTCCAGCTTCGTGATTAAGTTGTAGCCCCCCTGCTGATCTCGGATCCTAGTGTTTCCTGCATTTTCTGATGATACAAAAGCTGCTGCTGCTGGCTTGAGTGATGTTAGCATTGCGTTGAATGATATAGCTGAAGCCTCGCTGCTCAATTGTTCTCCGATTGTGTAGAGGATTAACCTACCTCGTAAGGAGAGACGCAATTTGTTTTTTGCATCTCCGCTTACGCTACAATCTACTGCAGTTGTGCATCGGTTAAAGACGACTTTTATCGCGGACTGCACTGGCTTTTGAATAAAGCCGATAAACCCGATTCCATCGTCCTTGCCGGAGACTTAAACGCACGGGTCGGCAATCTGCTACCAAGCGAACGTCATCCAAGTGGCCGTCGTGTTCTTGATTAGATTCACTATGACAACGAAGATAGGCTTCTCACGTTATACGAGGACAACCGCCTCTTCCTCTGGAGCACGAACTTCAGGTATTCCAGGGGATGGGCAGCCACATGGCGTTTCCCTTCGCCAGCGAAATTGTGCTCACAAATTGGTCACATTAAACTTAACCTCAGATAACGAGGGAGTGTACGGGATACCAGATCAACTTGTCCCACCTACCTCTACTCAGGTCTGTGCAGACATCTGCATTCGCTCTGGGGGTTCCTCATAACCAAGGCACGGTACGCCAGCTAACAATAGGCCAGTTTACCTCACCATTCAACTGATTTGCCAATCTTTTTTGTCAGATGCGTTCACTAGTGCTTTACCATAAGACACCAAACACCACTAGTTCCTTGCAGAAGACGTTGCTTCCAGTCAATCATTCTGTGAAATTACTGGGCGCCCTCTGCGAGGCTGGATCTCCGCTTGCTCTTTAGAATTGTTTGGTTGTCGCCGAGCTATCCCAGCTAATTCCGGTGACGGGGAAGTCCGCTGCAGCCTTATCAAACAACTCGTGCAAGGTCTGCGTAACGACCGCCTTGTTTATGGCACAGAAAGTGGAAACGAACCGCTCTGTATCGTTATTTCACGCTCCACGTGTTGAACATGTCAGCACACCGACTCCGGCGCCGTGCGTTGTTTGCTCACCGGGTATGTGGATGGAGGAAGAGGAGGGGGTGCCAAGCGATGACTTGGTCGGGAAATATGAAAGCCGTTAGTACGAATTTGGCCACGGTTGAATCCTCTCAGCTCCCTGGTTGGGGTCCGAAAGACGATGAACAAGTTTGACTGGATACGTCGGTTGACATATCTTGGAGCCAACCTCAATGGCTTTTGTGTTTGAGTTTCTTTGTTCTACCCTTCTTGCTTAGACTCCCCTGCAACCGCTATCTCATTTCCTAACATAGTAGATGGTGGTTTGCGATTCATGTGTGTGGGATAATTGGAAAGAAATTCTTATTTTTCTTGATAGTCGTAGCACCTACTTTGTTTTCCATAAGGAACCACTAACACCGCACGATCACTTTACATGTCGGTTTCTCAATTGTTGCCAATCAGCTCTTTTACTTACCACGGGACACTCGTTCGAGAGATCACACCTTCGTAATTTACCTTATTCCGGCCGCGCCCCGCTCCATCAGATGGTTGGCGAGCGGTTAATCTGAAATTATTATGCGTCTGTCTCTAGTGTTTGTCAAGTGGGCTATGTCATATCCGTTTAATATTCATTTACGGGTGGATAATCTACTGATAAAGAAAACCCATCCTGTCGGTGAAGAGCAGTTCACTGTAGGACAATCAGGTTAGTTTTTCTAAGCGCATGATCTCTCAGCGTAGCTGTCATCATTCGCGTACCAACAACCATTAACTTCCTAATGAAAATGGCACTCCAGCCAATTCGGTCCTTTCACTAGTAGTCATCTGATGTGCGCAGTGTACGCGAACGTTTTCCCCTTTGTGCCGCTCCTGAGGATTTTACTTTTTGGAACTGACAAACCTCTGCGCTTATGAATTTCCTCTTACTTGGATGGACAAGCGCAATTAATGAAGGTGGATGACTAGTGTTAGAATCCAGAAGTGTTTGTTGTTGACCTTAACCGAGTGGTGTGCTGGGTACTGCGGCTTTTCGTTTTCTGCCTTAACAAATACCTTGAGTGTTGTAGTCATAAGCCCCCCTCACGTCCGGCGTCAAGTTCATAACCGCGTATGCCACTGTCGTCGCAAGACATACGCTTATGTGACTGCAGCTCAGTCACTAGCAAACGAACTGTTCACCTGAAAACTCATGCTTGAGTTTTAATTTTTTTATGGCGGACACACTAAATTCTGATTTACTATGCTCGAATAACTTTGACTTTTAGAAGCGCACTGAGTCCCTACTTAACCACGGACGAATATTCTATTCGTCCCCTTTGAAATAAACGTACAATGCTCTGTTTAAAGCTGTGTTCGCAATCACTTCCAAGGTTCTGCGATGTTATCTCGCAAATTTACCAATACTTGTTACAACGACATCTAAAATTCTTTCATCAAATAGCGCTTTTCATTGTCGTCCACTAAGGGTGCATTCAACTGCGCTCGAAGCACTGTAGCTTTGCCATCAAAACCATAGTTCTGTCGTTTATCATGACTTACCTCGCAGAACACACAAACCGGAGTATTCCAAAATTGCATAATTTTCCGTACCTTCTTTGCAGTAAAGATCTCTCTTTCTTGAGACGCTCAGCTGCAAAAGCAACCATCGTACACGATCTCTTCCTTGTTGATTTTGATGCCCTATGCAACAATCTACCACAACCTATCTGTTCCAATACGAATACAGCAATTTAAGCGGGCACCGCCATAATGCTCGAATCTATCCGACGTCTTTATTGTACATGGCCAGTGCAAGGCTCGCTATCGCCTACGAATGTGAACTCAAGTATGCTAAACTGACATCGGATGATTAGAATGCCAAAGCCAGATGGTTGTTATGTAATCCGCCTCCACCTCTCTTACCTGCTAGTGTCTTTTTGACTCATGAAGATTGAAATATAGGTTGCATGTCTTTCACGTACTTCCCCATGATACTTACGTGAGTGGTGCTCAATTGACTTTGAGAACTCTTTCTACCATCAAATTCATCAGAATCCAATGTGAGTTCACGTAATGCTCATTAAATCGTCCCTTGACAAATTATCTTGCCTGTTATAACATAAACTGATTTGTAAGCATTTGCCCAATCCAATGATTCCCCATCTTCACCAATGTGCAGCGCCTCTTTTTCAAGTGCCTTTCTGTTCCGATTTGCGTGTTCCAGTGTGCACATTCTGTTCAGCTTATCAGCCGCTTCTCTTCCCCTCGTGTTCTTAGTCTCCTCGCTGCGATGCCCTTCGTCACCAAACAGCTCCGACTGTTGTGGAACAATCGTATGGTTCACCTCCTATTCGGTGACCTCTATGCACAAGCCGAGTTAGACAACGAAGGGGACAGGCCCTCTCAAGCCGCATCGACTTCAAAAACATCGAAAGTGCCATCCATACCCAGTGGTTCATCGTATCAAAGATCTAATCAATCTGGCCTCAATGCTGACCGTTCTCCTGACCGTGTGCGTCACGGTTTGGGTCATTTTTTGGGCCAGTTGGCGAAGCGGAATCGTCTAAAGGTCCCCCTGAAAAAACTCAACGGAGACGATTCCTCTCTCACTCGCCTTCACTCTACTTATTTGGGACCTCACAATCTTCCACATTCCCTGAAAGCCGTATGCATGCTCTATTGCTTCACTGTGGGCAGTTTGAGACAGATAAGAAATGATATTTTGGCAGGTGGGTTTTCGGTGGAATGCTCGGGTCACAAACATATTTTATGACTTGAATCTTTATGCCACTTCTCACGGGTACGCTTCATTCTCGGCATAAATGTGGGTTTTGGTGCATTTCGGGTAGCTGGTCTCAAACAGCCTCAGCCAGCCACCACATATCCGGAAGGGCACAGCTCATCTATGTTTATCATGAAAATACAGAGAACAGAGTTGGCCGTCGCCAACCTAGGTGGCATCTAAGCTACTGGGGCTGCGTTACATCGCTACTAGTACTAAATCATGGCGGTCCGCCAACGTCAACCGCGTCTCAGTGCCTCGAGTCTCTGACTGGTAACTCGAATGTCATCGTTTCGAATCTAGCTAGACTTAGCGGATGTGCTCTGCTAACGAATCTCAATGGGAGGAAACATCCATCTATTGATTTTTTCGACTGCCGGAATTGTCTGCTTGAGCTTTTCTGCGTCGAGATTTTTCAAGTGTACTCCATTCTTATCTGGATTCTTTATCTAGGGAGAGTTTTGCGACCAGGGGAGAATGTGCGCTCAGGTTTCGCCTGTGTACGGTCCAACTGATCGGGTTGACTGAAGGTTGCTTAATGGTAAACCGCTGTCCACTCTTTAACTGTGCCGCATGTGCTCATGTTTTTTATGCTTAATTCCCATCCTTTATATCACTATGCTGATAACGACGATCTTCCACGCAGCAATGCCAGAGTTCCGTCTTTGATAAGCTTCATACTTTTCGTTCATATGCATCACGATTTCCCGCGTTCGACTTTCATGTCACTGCTCGCAGCAGCCCACTTGTTAGGTATGTTCGCGATCCACACCTTAGTGATGTGGATCAAGTCAGCTGGAGATCTTACGGTCGATGCAGACTTCTTAAACGGGAATCTCCCTCTTTTAATCATAATAGCTTGTCGTGCTTTTTATCTTCGGATGGGTTTTCGAAAAGTGCTTCTCATATTTCATCATTATTATCATCAATACACATTGGCCGATTGCGCGAGACTCCCCAACTAATGTACCGCAATGCAAAAAAGATAAGAGATTAAATATTACAAACAGCAATAACTAAAAAAGTAACATAATGCTAAAGTCACATTATGCATTGGGTCGAGGTCGTTGTTAGAAGTGGAAACTAAAAGGGAGGGGAGGGATAAAGTGACTCACAACACAAACGCCATTAAAGTCGGCTCCTTGCCATCTCAGCTAATGTATCCAGCCAAATGTGTTCATCGTCCTTGGGATTCCAGCCAAGCAGTCGGGCAACACCAACCGATGCCAACTTCAAAGTGAGGGACCTCATTCCTCTTAACCAAGTCATCGCTTGGCCCCCCACCCTCTTCTTCCATCCACACTCCGTACGCGCAAACAACGCGCTACGCGGGAGTCGGGGTGCTGGCATACGCAACACGTGACCCAGCCATCGGAGTCTGGTACGTGATATATGTATCCTATACTCCTTCTAAGCTTTTTAAGGACAGCTGTCTCCTTGGCTCCCTACGGCCGTTAGTGTGCTTTGGATTGCTAAATATTCCCTTTCCTTTTTACCATCGACTTACTGATGAATGACTCCGTTTTCAGTCTCTTTTGGTGCATCCGTTCGGTTAGGTGATGGACAAACGTTGAGCACGCGGACAGCAGATCTACTTTGAGTCGAACCCTATCTCTGTACAAGCGCTTCTGAATAGTTTGGCGGGACGCTTCACTCCTCGATATGTGCCCCACATTTCCTAAGTGAATAGTGCTGCTGCGAAATGAACCGATGTCACTTATTCTTATCAACACCAGTCAGTTACTCGAATGGGTTGTTTGACCCACTTATCTGATCAGTTATTCCACTTGTGGTTTGCACATCACGTTCCATGACCTCTTGTGTGGCCTTCCCACGTACAAATCCTCTAGTGAGATGGCGAAATATGAACCCGTTACTCATGGGCAGGATATAAAATGCTGTGCTGAGACCGGTGTTTCTACCTGGATCGGGAACATGCCCACTCCTCACTGAAACTATCAATACATTGGTAGCTTTTGTCTGCGGAATGGTGGGGATACGTGCTAAAGTTTTGGCAAGAGACCATATGAGACCTCTTTGAACCGCTGTTTTTGCCACGTTATGTTCTTCGTATGGCCATTTACAGCCTTACTCTGCTTTCATCAATTGCTGTTGCCGCACTTAATCTGGCGAAACCATTGGAAAACTAATCGACGACGCGACAAAGAGCGTGAAGAAATCGACTGAAAGGCTTTTGTCGTCTTCACTGACTCGGGATTTCGAGGTCAGCCGCATCACGGACGCTAATACAATGAAGCTTTTGCTTTTGTCTCTTGCATCCATCTGTTGATATTCCAGCTTATTTGATGTTGCATGCAAGTGGGGGCTTCTCGATTTGAGTTAACACGCCTTTTCTCTTACTCCTTTTCTTTTCACTTGCGTTATATCGCGTTTTCCCAACCATGATTATTAGTGCCGTTATTATGACGATGCAAATCATGGTAACTGGACCAACCACACTGCTATGTTTGGCTTACAGTTGTGTTACTGAACTCACCTAACCTGGTATAGCCAGTGCATCAGTGACGGTTTCTAATAGACTCTCTGTTGACTTGCTTGTGAAATTAAGATTTCTTCTGAATGATGAACTAGAGCTGTGCCTATTAGCTTATTTACTATTCAGCATATACCATGGTGATATTGCTTGCTTTTTATTTTTATATTTGCGCTAGTTCTTATTGCTTTTCCATTTTATTCCTTGATGAGAAGGATGCTCCGTTTCTCATCAAGTTATCTCTTGGGCTATTAAATTTGCTTATCGATATGTGTCACCACCTTTCAAGCCCTACAACTCAGTGTAGAGGTCTCGCACAGAATGAGATCGTGCATTCCAGACGCACGCGGTTTCGAAAGCACCGGTTCTAAATATTTTGCGACGATTTTCCGTGACCCACTGAGCTGCCGTGCATTTCTTTTCTCGAGCCCCTTTAGGGCCCCTCATATTCATCCGATCTGTGGTTCATGATTGGCCAAGCCCAGTCTTAAGGTAAACGTCATTGTCCACTAGTCCTCACTACTCAGCGCTGGAAAACATTGATGTGGGACCATGTGCTCAGCATCATTGGCGTGGGCCACTTGCGCCACGCATTGTCTCTGACCGCCTGCTACCGCCTGGACGCGAACGCACTGCTGAACATGGTCGGAGGTGTATGATTTGGCGGCGTCCGTATCCGGATTTGCCTGTCACTGTGACGTCCATGGGGACAGTCACAGGACGCCTGCGCCTACAAAGGGGACCATGGGTGGCTTGCGCTGCACCACCCATAGTTCCACCCACGCACCCCATATCCGGTGTAAACCCGAAGGAATAAGACCGGGAGGCATGCGGATGGGAGCCACGTTTCATCAACGGAGCCGGCCCACACTCCTTCAACAAGCAGAACGGAAGC